TTTTTTCCTGAAGACAACAATGGAAAACTTCCAAGCTGTTTTGGGTCCTGGTGATCATCAGCTTTGAGCAGTGAACACCAGGCACACGTGGCTGGATGCTTCCCCACTCTGCAGGGCAAGTTTGTCCTCTACATATTTAATCAAATAAGCTTAATCAGTAGCTCTGGAAAACTCTCTGCTTACCCTTTAAATCTAATTAAAAATATTATTTTTGTGTGGGTTGCTAACAACTAACAGGAAAAGGTCCAACAAAATGTCAACCATAAGCAAGGAAGAAGGACACAACTTGCGACACCAGTGTGGAGGTGCTGGGTGCCTGCTTCTTCTGACATGGTAGGGGACCTATTCAGTACCCATCCCCTCTTCGCTGCTCACTAACAGAACTGTGATTTCACTCAGCTGCCAATGTGTCCAGTTAACTCAGTCATCTCCCTGGGCCCATTGCAGCAATGGCTGGCCATGTGATTTAGTTCTGGATTTCATTTCCCCAATTGAAAAAAGAACAGACCAGTGGGCCATGCCTTTTGCTTTTGCCCTATCTTACTGCACAGAATGTTGTCATGAGGCCTGGAGGGGCAGAGGCTGACATCTCATGAGCATAAGTAACGAAGCCACATACGGAGGACAGAGTGGACAGAAAGGAGAAGATGGGGACCTAGCATTAGAGGTGTAATTGCCTACAGCCAAGATGCAGCACAGGAAGTGTTTACCAGAGGCAAGGATTCACTGGGATCTTTAGCCCTTGACCCCTTATCCATACTGTCTCCTTCACTCTAGGAGCCAGAAAGGATGCCTGGCTCAGCTAGCTCAACCAGAGCCTTTATGAAAATGAGAAGATGATGCTCCCTCAAAGGAGATACATCCCTGTAGAAAAATGCTTGGGGAAAAGCACCATTCAGATTTCAGCCCATCACCTCAGCAAGTGTCTGTGTGCAGTAACTGTTCCTGGACAGAAAGTCTCAATATTATAAGGATGCTCATTACCACTCATCTAACATACAATTTAAAAATAATTCTAATTGAAATTTCAGCAAAACTTATTTTTGCAATTAGATAAAACTAATAGTGACCCCTATTTGGTTTCCAAGGCTGTAAATATTTATGGAAGCAGGTTGCCCCATCTTCCTTCCCCGGAGCAGCTGGTCGGTTTGAACTGCCAAGCTTCTGGTTAGCAGTCAGTTGCTCTACACCACCAGAGCTCCTTACAGTTTGTAATATAGAAAACCAAAAAAAGGAACTTTAAGTCAAACAAATATGAAGGGTTAGCATCATGACAGACTGGACTGACTGCCATCTTCCTTCCTAAGAAGAGGGAGAGCCAGAAGAAAGCAGGGGACAGGTTTGTTTGGGGATGGCCAGGGGTCAGCACGGTAGGAGCATGCACATCCCCAGAGATGCCCTGCCTTTGGCGACTGGGTCCATTTCTACCAGGTAACACCTCTTCTGACTGGAGTCTCTGTGATGGCCCAAGACACTGAACCCTGAGCAGATGCAGAAGAGCCTGAGGAACAAAACTCAGTTCTCTAAAAGTGTTTTTTGACTGGTTGTGTGTCTTCAGGTATTTATTGCCTCTCTTCAGTATACATTCCATCTCCTTTAACAGTGATTTTCTGAGTGTCTTCTATGCATCTAGCCGTTCAGTGGGAACATTTCATGGGCAGCAACAAAAAAATGCATGCCTGTGGAGGGTCAGGATGCCCCCTGACACCGATGGCTAGCTCTGGGACAACATGAAAGAAGGGTTTCTTTCTCAGTTCTTCAATAAAAGTTTAATTAACCAAACCTCTGTCCTGTGCCTAGCAAATTCCAACAATTGTCAGGAAAGGATTTTTGGAAGGCAGCTACTGTGGGCCCAGACTCCAGGCACAGGGAGCTGGACTAGGGCTTGGATGGATGTTAAACAGGAACCACTATCTCTGTGACAAGTCAGCAAAATGATGGAAGTGATGCCATGTTGGGGAAATGGCTGTGGAGCTGTCTCTGAACATGCTACTTTCCCTAATATGTCTAGAAGTGTTTGAGGGAAGAGAGGAACTTGCTTCTTTGAGGGGGGAGGAGGAGTTGTGGGAATAAGCCAGGCTGTGTTTTAGTTGCACCAAGCCTAGTTAAGCAGAACTCTTGAGCAGAACTGGGCAGCAACATACAGCATGGAGCAAAGCACCTCCTTCAAAGCTCCAGCACTGAGGGTGCCTCACATTTATTAATAGAAGCCCTTCCTCAATGGGAGAAATATGGTCTCTGGAGAAATGCTTCAG